AAACACACACACACAATTTTTATCAAATGATGTAATTTTACCTTCTGAAACTCAAACAAGACAATAAGGGTCATGGGTACAGATAAGACAGAGAGTGTAATAATAAACATAGTATTACCTAAAAAGACAAATCCTAAAGCCTATAGAGCATGTCAAATCATGTAATAAATGAACTTTACTATGCTTTTTAAAGATAATCTTTGGATTTTACAAACCTGTGGATTATCCATGTACCATACAAAACTATCTTCTCTGGTATCCAGTATAAAGTACCTTCGAAGAAATTTCCCACTGTTTTCATTTTCTTCAATGTCTAGAAAACCACAGATTCGATTCTGACGATCCACATAAGGCATTTCTGGGCTTGAACATTACCCTGTAAAATAAAAACATTAACAGTAAGCTCCCTAGAAAAAAGAAAAGAATTTTGCAATAGGAAGCAAGATTAAATCTGTGCTATGATGCAGTCATTTAACGAGAAGACTACTCTTCTCAATGTTAGGCGAAACTAGTTAATAAGAATTTATGCCAACATCTAAAGCATGAAAATACATCACTTTAGAAAATAAATTTATGTTCACATTGATAAGGACAAAGAAGAGCTGTGTAACCCTTAGCTGAATAAGTTACTTACTTTTACCCTAAAAAAAACTCAAGTGAGTCAAAAATTAGCTTTCCAAATTTTAATTTCCTAGCAAAAAAATCTACATTTTGGATTGTTTTAGAATATTTAAATTTGTAAGACAACAGTAATAATAGCTAATGTTTATAGACCACTTACTCTATTATAGGTTCTGTGTAATGTTCCTTTCTATGCATTATCGTAATCTTCATAACAACCCTAAGCGTAGGCATCACCAATCCATTTCACAAATAAAGACATCAACATTGACAGTAAGTAACTGCCCTGGATTACGGAACTAGTAGGAAAAGAATCAAAACTCAAACCCAGATTCCTGGACTCCAGAGCTCCTTTCTTAAACTCTACACCACCCTATCTCTCTAAAACTCTATGAAGTGAACATGTAATAACAACAAAAAATGTTTTATCTAAATCTGAATTACTCGGTCCCTTTATACCCCACTACCAAAGACAGAAATTCAGAACACACAGGAACATATTAAATTGCACCACAGGGATCCAATCAGCAACACTGAGATCAATCTAAAGCCAGGCTGGGAAACTAAAAGACAGACTACACAGTTTCTTGAGCAAATAAATTACCACAGGGGAAAAAAAAGGGGGAGAGAGAAAAAGAGGAGGTACAGATTAAAAGAAACTTAAGAAGTATAACATATTCTGGTTCTAAAGTATTGAAACTTTTGTTGTAAACCAGGATCTGGGTAAACAGTGATGTTTCCAACCATTTTTGATCTAAAAACTATAGATGTATGATCTTCCTGACATGAAGCTTAGTCCACTCTGCAGATAGCTGTTCCTATACTGGCAGAGCCAGCAACACTATACCTTTTGGCAGACTGAATTTGTGTAATTAGTTCTTCATTTAAAGGCTCAAGGTAAATTAACTAGAATATTTAAATTTTTTTTAAGAGAGAGTGATA